CGCCTCTGAAAATGAGGATCCTTCTTTCGGGATTTCAACTAACCCACCAGTTTTGTGATCAACAGTTTTGATTGTTTCCACCTTGGATGGAGCCGGTTCATCTAGAAGCGTCTCATCTTCCACGTCGGCAACAGCCTCCGGATCTTGTCCCGCTTCTAGGAGAGGGGCATCCTGAATGGTGGGACCAGACTGATCTGAAGAAATCTTACCCTCACGAAGGGACTTGTAACGGTCCTGCATCGGGAAAACGAAGCTTCCGTCGGGCCTCGTGATTTTGAAAACACGATGCAACTTCACAACATCATCAAAGTCCGTTTCATTCAGCTCTTTCAACGATGCTACAAGGTAGTCACCTCTCCATAGAAAGCCGGGGTGGATAACATACCCAACAAACACTCCCGGATTGGACGTGGGATCAAACTTCAAGTCCTTCTTCGGTTTCTGTCTTGGTCCAATCCAGTAGTCAATTCGACATCCGAACGGCAAGAACTGACCTTTGAACTCTTCTTCGAACCTAAGATTCCATGGTGTTCTGGAACCAGAAGGTGGTTCACAAACATTTTGAGATAAACACCAGTGCCTTGCGGCGTGCGGCCAGTATGAATGATTCAACCCGGCCTGTGCAAGTGCGACTCGAGTTCCCTCGAGCACGGTTCTGATGCTCCGTTCAGCCACCGCGTTTGTTTTGTGAATGTACTCTTGACTGAGGACGTGTCTCCAGCCCATCTGTTCAGCTGCAGCAATTAACTCAGGGGCATTATCACTATAAAACGTGCCAACCTCGTCCGACGAGGAAGTGAAGTGCTGAAACGCCTTCACAGTGGCTTCCGTGTTTCTTTTAGCAAAAGGATATGCATATTTGAAACCTGTGGCAACGTCACTTATGACAAGGGCAGAGTATTCATCGTCTATGCCTAGCTCCTGTTCGTCCGCAGTGATTATGAAATCGGCTGTGATGTGCTCAGCAAATTTTCGAGCATCAACCTGTCTGGATCCCCCCCGCGAGCGAGAGGGAGACTTGGTCATCTTCGCGCATTTGCACACTTCGCAGAATGGATTCTTTGGCTGGTGTGTCATCAGGTGCTTTCGTGATGCTGCTTCCTGCCTAAGGGCGCTTTCTGCAAGTGACCTAGGGCTTTTCTCATCGGGGTTGCCAACAACATCTTCCCCTGCCAGATCTTTACTCTCCGTCGGCTCAGCAAGTTCATCTGGAATGACTTCAACGGGGTCATTTGCCAGAAGCTCGGCGACAACTCTAGCATGCACCTCAGGATCTTCTAGAGGGGCAATACTAGGCGTATACTCTTCTTCCGCGGCATCTTCAGTTTGCACGGATGAGGAGCATGATGATTCACTCGGTGGACTGCTTCTGGCGACCTGACCTTCCGGTCGGCTTGGCGGTGTTCCTTTGGCGGGACACGCCATTGCTGAGTCGCTATCCCACACGTCGTAGTACGGGACATAATCTCGAACTTTGAGATAAATTCTCGTCCCATCAGGCTTGACAAAGAATGGCTTCTCTTTTGCATGCCAGATGAAGTCATAACCCTGATTCATGCACTTCAAACCTACGGAGAGAACAGAGGGTGTTTGTGGCAACAAGTATGGATCCGTGTTCCCAAGGTCACCTGCGGCCATGTTGGCCTGCTTTGACGAATCACTTGGTCCATTGGCAGTCATCAACATCACGGGATCATTTGAATTATAAATTGCATATTCGGGGCAATTCGCGCGAGTGAAAAGGTCGGTCCCACTGCCAGTGTCAATAATCCATGAACAGTTCGGAGAAAATCTCTTGCTCGCCAGTGCGGGCTTTGCGCCCATGTCTCTCGGGGCACATTGCCAACATCCGATCTCGCTGTCACATTCGTACTTGCATCTAGTCGGATGGCCTTCCAATTCACGCCTCACAATGAAGGCGAGCATGGTTGCTTCGAGTCTCGCATCATCTATGCTGACTTCGTCATGGAAAAACTGATGGTCGATTGGGTAGACCTTTGAATACACGCGCGGTTTGTCCGCGATCTTAAACTGCTCACCATGTGCTGGTATCCGATTCATTTCAACCTTCGAGCTGAAACGCACACATGGGAGGGCAGGCATGTGCTTCCAGTCCGACATGAGGTTCCCCTCAGCGATAGGGACGTTCATCATGGAAGACAACAAGCATCCCAACACACAAACAGCAGCAGGAGAAGGCTTTCCGGAAGACTTTCCCTTGTGACCCTTCTTCTTTTCTCCCTTGGAATCACGGGAAGTGGATCGAGAGGTCGACTTAGAACGATCCCTACTCGACTTGCGATGCTTCCGATCCTTTCCTTGCTTCTTTTGCTTGTCTGCGGATGGTTCCCTTGACCCTGGAACGGCCGGCTTCGGGTCGATGTGAGCAAATGGGCAGGTCTCACCACGGTCACACCTCCCCTTAGGGTAGAAACGGCACTCTTTCTTTCCCTTTGGGCTATTCGTTCGGCCTTTACCCTTACCCTTCTTTGGCTTAGCGTCTCTTGACGGGGTCCTACCCCTTGCATCGCCCGATGGCTGTTCATGCTTGTACGTGCAATTGTCCCGCCGACACGACCCATACTTGACAAACGCAATGCAAAACCCCTTAGGCACACGTTGGCTCTCAGCGGCGGGTGCGGCTGGCCTGCCCCCGTTCTGCCTAGCAACCCGTTCTCGGTTGCGCTCGAGCCTTGCTCGAGACAGGTATTGCCTCACAGATTCAATCAAGTAGGTGTATGAGTGATCGGCGGACTCTTCCGAGGCGCTCAAATAGACATTCAAATGGTGTTGCATTTGCTTGCTCTTTTTCAGCTGGTTGTAGAACAGAGCCTCAAGCATGGAGTCATCCGGCGTCTTGGCATTCATTCCTGCAAGAACACCCTCCCAGCTACGCATGAAGGAAGTGAGGTTATCGTTCACGAGCCTCACGTTGAGGAGATCCTCCATGGCATAGGTGGCTCCGTGCTTGATGTTCGTGCTCAGGTGCTCGTGCACCATGAGAAGCACTTGTCTCCCACGAACTGGATTCCTCTTCTGCGCCTCTACCTCCTTGAAGGTGTCGACTTGTCTCGCCAGGTCACCCTGAATGATGTTGGTGAGGGCGGACAGCAACTTGGCGTCCAAGGTGAGGAAGGTCCCGGGTTCTTTGAGCTCCTCGATTGTAACGGCGGGCTCCCACACTCTGCTGATCCACGTGAAAGCGTCATCGGGGCGATCGGATGCCGCGCATACGGCTTCCCGCACCTTGATGCGCCAATTCCTGTAACTCTCAGGAAGTGGGAAGGAGGGAATGATAATCCTCTCCGCCTCCTTGACCTTGGGCTTGTCATGGTCTGCGTCCACTGCGCTCGCCTGCTTACCCAAGATCTTGTTGAGCTTCTTGCGGATCACTCGTGCCTTCTCCGATGATGATGATGAGGATGATGATGTTGAGGAGCTGGATGATGAAGAGCTTGGAGAGTCGGAAGGAGACCCACTCTTTCGCTTCTTGTGGCTCTTCTTCTTCTTCTTCTTGTCCTTCTTGCTCTTCTTCTTTTTATCCTTCTTCTTCTTCTTCTTGTCCTTCTTGCTCTTCTTCCCATCGTCATTCCCATCGTCATCGTCGTCGTCAGGATCATCGTCATCATCGGGATTACCGGCAGGTGGTTCCCCACCGCCTCCGCTCTGGCCATTCCCTGCGCCTGATGGACATCCGCCACCATCGTTAAGGTCCTGTGCCGGAGATGTCGGTTCGTAATCCCCGGCATCCCCGTCAAGATCATCGGCGGCACCTGGCCCGTCACGGCGGAGTTCGGTGGAAGCTGACCTGACACGTACCTTAGAACTAAGATCCAGGCCAGGGGGAGGAAACGTCTGTACAGGAGAGGCCTTTGGCCTCAGACCGAAAATCGGAACATTAGAAGAACTACTCTGCTCACTGCGAGATTTCAGTTCATGACGTAGTGCCTCAATGTCCCTCGACTGCTTCATGATGATCTCCCTCATTTCAGCAGCGTTCCTGTCCGCTTCCTCCTTCTGCTTGTTGTGGGTGACTTCCCAAATCATCTTGAGCTGTTCATACCTCTGTTCAGCTTCTGAGCGTTGAGCAATCCACTGCCGTCTGGCCTCGTTGAACTCTCTTTCCTTCGCCATTGCCTCTTGTTGGCATACATTGATGTGGTTCACTGCGTCCTGATAGAGTCGGCCTTTTTCCTCAACATGGCCTGCTTGGAGCTGATTGATGATGGCGTCGTGGCGTGCCGAAGCATAGGCAGCCACTTCCTCCGTACTCGGACCTGTGTTGACCACATTCACCGTCTGGCTATGTTGATATATGTTCGGGGCGCTCACATGATGTTGATGAAGGTGAGTCTCATTCTTAGTCATGTGCGCGTGCATCTCTCGCCCAGGTTGATGTCCGGCGAGAGGTTCCCCTCCGCTTCCCATCGAATCCTCCGGAAGAACGACCGATGTGACGGGCACAAGCGCATCACCTTGGTCGGATTCAGGAAAACTGCTTCGGGAGCGCTGTGACGGATTGCATGGCGGTTTCCCTTCCGGATGCCCACCCTTGATCAATTCGTTGGCCACTGCTTCGTTCATCCTTGCTATGGCAGGGTGGCATCCGTCGCCGCTTGACGCCATTGCGGCGCGGGTGAGAGCTGACTGTACAAGGTACCAGCGATACGGCTGATAACCTGTTGAAAGGTGGGATCTACCTAAAAGTCAGCACGGGCAGCAGCTTGTTTTACTTGAGCCAGTATTATGTCGGTACGCCATTACCTATCAACAGAAACCAGCAGTTGGATGGTTTATTGGGGTCATTCCCTAGTCCAACTCCTGCAAATGTGTGCGTGTGGTGGTTTCGCGCGGATGTTGGGGGCGTGAGGAGGCTTAGCCTCTCGTCATCCAACTGTGTGACTGGCTAGCCAGTCAGCCAGTCAGGTCAGTCGCCCGGCCAGCCACCCACCCAGCCAACCAGTCAGCCAGTGTGGGAAAGGAACGTCTGAGCGCCCAACCGCAGGAAGCTGAGCAGTCGGACCACTTTGCCTGAGATGCAGATCGAATTCCAATTCGGTTGCGTGGCTCAGGGCCGTTTTTCTAGCCATCCGCCGCGCAACAGGCACAAGCTGACGGAGCTCTCCTTGCAGTCAGGCCGCCCAATCCATCATCGAGCAATCTTGTGGCCCGGTGGTGCTGCACGGGTTGATGCCTCATCCGCGGCTAAGCGATGTGAGCAACATGTATGAGACATGACCCTTTCGGGTCCTTGCAGGGTGCTTGATTCAATAGATCCATTCAACTATCATCCGCAAAATTACTCTCCACTGAATATGGAACCCCAGAAGGTGCTTTAAGAGCGGCATGGTGGTCTCTTGTTAGTCGGGAGGGTAATCTGCTGAGGGTACCCTGCTGAAGTGCTGTAGTACTTTGAGCCCTCTCGTTCTTAAAGTGTGAGTAATTCGGGGGGTTGGCCGGGGATGCTGGCCACCGTGCAGACTGTCGCTCGAGAACTCGTCCAACTCCCAAAGATGGGAAGTCATATTGTCCAGCCCTCTGGGCCTCCTGCCGCAGCCCTGTGTCTCTCTCAGCTCTACGCTGGGGCAGGTCCCGCCTCTCCTGGCGACGAGCGATCCGAATCCTTCGGATGGTGAGATGTGTGTTTTGGCAGACCCCCTTGTGCAGGCTTGCTTCTGGAGGGTAAACTCATCCCAGTCCCCCCTCGCTTCTTCTGCTTCCCTGACTGACCTTGGGAGTAGCAACCCAGTTGGGGCTGGCTTGAAAAAGAGACCAAAGGAAACCAACCACAGCCTCCGGAGACCAGAGATAAGACAAAGGGGTGGTTGGCTGTGCAGGAACTTCCTTCCCAAAAGAAAAGGGTGAGCAGTAGAAGTATTTGCATAGTTTTGCACTTCTCGGATTTTTGGGGTCCCGCAATCTGCGTGGTTCAGCCAACAGCCTCCCCCATGCGCAGTTTATATACAATTTCTTAAACCCTACTCATGTTTGTTTGCCCACCTCAAACCTCGGGTTGCCACAGGCCCATGGTTCAACCGCTGGGGCCCCGTCTGTGGAGGCTTCAGGATGTTTCGGTCTCGAAACATCTGGCCGCCGTCGCAGGTGGCGGTGCCTAGGCTCGATCCCGGCGCGGCGACATGAAATTGAGTTGCTTCTGACCGCAAATGCCACGACGTTTCCCCACCCCACTTTGGCTCGCTTTGGCCAGGCAGCATTTGGTCCAGGGCTGCCATTCTGAAAGGACGCAGTCGCTGGGCACCAGTGGAAAGCAGCCCCGGGTCTGCTTGAGGCCTCAGATGACCCGACGCCCAACACCTCGCACCTTTGGAATTGGACGCCTGACTTTGGAATCGCGGCATAGCGCACTGGTTCTGCCAGAATGTTGAAAGCTGATGGGAATTTGGGGCATGACTAAACCTGAATCATGGGAATCATGGGCTCCCCTTCAGACAGGAGCCGCGAGAGATGGCAGGTTCCCAGCAGGGCCCCCAAAGACTGCTGTAAAGTCTGGAAATCACATGCGGAGAGATCTCCAACTTTGGGGAACCCTAAAAGCTAGGGGGCTTCATTTGTTTCCCTTTGCTACAAACCCAAAACCGGCATGCCGAAAATAGACAAACCCATTAGAAGAATCTCGCTCTGCGGGTTGCGCGTTTGGGGGGGGGAGGGGCATGACAGTTTCGTGGGATGCGCCAAGCCAAGCCGAGCTCAAATGAGCCGCGTGCTGCCGCAAAGAGCTGCGCTTGCTGCCAGCAAAATACGGAAGTTTCGATGCATCCATGCGCATATGATCATGTGCATGTCTAGGTATGAACATACACATGTGTACATGTTGCTTGGGCTGATGCCAATATTGTATGTACGTACTACTAGTATGCAATGTGTTGCTTATACACACATATAGATTTATATACATACATCTTATATATACATATACATATGTATGTACGTACGCATGTATTTGTGTGTGTGTGCGCATATGTGTACACATACGCAGCAAAAGAAGTACTAACCATGCGAATGACGATAACAATTGGTATTTTCATGTTGGTTCACTTAGCTTTGTACTCTTGCCACGGGGCTGGCGTTGCACAGCTGGCCGTGGCCCTCCGGCTCGGCCAGCACCTGAGAGTTGGTAGGTGGCACGAGTTCCTTCGGGGTGCCATCTACCGTCACTCGACAAGGGGGACTTAGAATGAGGTTGTGGGGAACTTAAAATTTACCGATGTTGGCCGCTGTCGGAGTAAACGCTGGTGTGCTTTATGTTGTTGTGTTGTTGCTTTTTGTGCGCACGCCTGGCTCAACCTTTCCTGGAACCTTGCTTTGAGATAAGCGCAGGGTCATAAGGCCTGAATACAAGGTCAATCAAGCAGCCTGCCCCCACAGACCACAGACCCACCAAGCTTCCTGAACAAGATCGGCGCCATTTTTAACCTGGGGCCCCATCTCCTGTCATACCAGTTCCTTCTGTGAAAAAAACCGAAGCTGCCTGGCGGTGGCGGTAGGACTGAATGTACAGCTCGTCGCACAAAGTCCATTCGCCCCAATCGCTGAGGACGCAATCTTTGCCTCAGAAGGGCGGGTGATCCTACCATAAAGGGGGAGGCACGGGGGCCCAATTCCATTCATCCAGTCTTCCCCATAAAACCCATGTGTACGCGGGGTGGGGATGGCGGGTGAAAGTATATTAAGATGGCACGCTTCTCTTTTTGTACAGCAAGTCAAGGAAAGGATCAAGCCACACACACACACAGAAATCAAGCCCCAGACTCCCAGTGACTCAGCACCAAGTGCCGATGGTACTGCGGTATGCCAGGCTGGGCTACAAAACCAACTAATCCTAAGGGAAGAGGCCTCTACGAATCCGTGTAAGAACAGGACTCCAGACACGTGCATGAAATTCCTCCGCACAGTTGGTTGACTTGCTTTTGGTCTCATAGTAAAACTATGGGAAAGAGAGTGGTGCCAACAATGAACCTGTACCCCTTGCCCTCAAAGCCTGCACCCTTGCCCCCCGCACCCTGTACACCCCTTACACCCCGTACATCTCACCTCTGGAAACCCACACGCCACGCACCCCCTGCACCCCACACCACCTGGGGATCCATTCAGGCTGCTGTCTTCGCAATGCCCGACCTCGCACTCGGCCGTCTCCAGGAGATTCAGTTGGCACGTCGTTCCCCCGTGGTGGGCTTCCTCATCGATGTATCCTCGGAAGGTGGCCGAGGAAGGTCCGAGAGAAGGAGCTCAAAGACAAGCAAGCGGCCCGGAAGGGTTGGGCCAATTGGCGCAGTGGGCAAGCCACGAGGCCCAGGAGACAACGGGGCGTATACCCTGTAACCATAGTGGCAATATCCCATGAACCCCCAGCGGTTGTGGTTTGGGGCGTGGAGGAAACCATCTTGGACAAAAAAAAACAAACCGGAAACCGTGCAAACGACCCCCGCTCGAGCCACCGGTTGCATCCCAGGCGCGCATTCGTGTACGCCGGCCCTTGCCACACTTTTCGCTGCAGCTGGTCCACTCGTGCCAATCGCCCACGTGGCAGTTGGTGTCCGCCGGCCCTCCGCAGGGCCTCGTCTCCTGAGGTTCTTTGGGTTCGAACGGCCGAAAGTTAGTGGGTCACTCGGTCTCGGTTGGTTGGCTGGGGCCCAGAAATGAAAAGGTGATCACTGATCACCTTTTGGCACCTCTACTCAAAATGGACCAACATGGGAAAGCCAAAAGGTCCAAAGGTCAGCTTTGGGCAAGTGAGGTCATGGCTGTCCTTTTGCCATTCTGGAAACAATGGCTCCACCTGGACAAGGAATCCTTGCACTTTGCCAAGTGGGAGAAGGCCTGTGTCTATGCGCACCCGATGCTACAACCAGGCGTCCTCCAAAGCTCCCTCGCAACTTGCGCCTCCTTCTTCAGGATACTCTGCGATGCTTCTAGTCCTCATGGATTGGTCCTGGCTCATGGCAAACGGGCAGGGCCCCACATTGACTGGCATTGAACCCCAGCAAGTGAAAGCTCAAAAGGGGGCGTTCCTTTGCAAGGCGCGCGCTCTTGGCAGGTCCTTCTTGTCTTTGCACTCTGTCCAGGCGCCCCATGCTCCAAATTTGCAGTCCTGGCGCCAGAGGCCGTCGTGCAACTGCTTACAAGCCACATGATCAGCCGGTAAAGTGACACCTCATCTGGAAATGCTATAGACTATAGTGTTTCAAACGGATACAAGCGATAATCCACGGTCAAAGGCTTGCATACTCTTGTCGCTTGATCTTCAAAGGACATTCATCCTCTCGCCGCGTAAGAATCCCATGCCCCTCACAACCATCCGGAGACATCGCCCCAGGGTTTAGGGCTTGGGGTCGGCTCTGAACAGCCTCAAACTAGTCTCCAGGCGTTCGGACCTTCAAGCGGGCGGGCTCATCCCTGCCAATAGTGGGACTCCAATACACCAAGGCAAAACCACCATCTGGCATGCACAGCAATGATTGATTTGATGCAGCCCAAACAACTTCGGTCGGTTTCGCACAAAACCATCGGGCTGCTTCTGCCTTGGGATCAAAAACTGGAACCTTGCCGAAAACTCCTGTGCTAGGCTACCCTCCCAACTAACACGGAACCTGAGAGGGGCCCCCGGTTCCATGGAGCGACCTGCGTGCTGACTGTGCACGGAGCTGACTGCGCGCTCCTTGCCCTTGGGCTTGCAGTTCTCTGGAACTTCGAAGCTCGCGGTCTCCGTCAAGGTGCCATCACAGGGCGTGCCGCAGTGGTTGTGCTGCACCTGCAAAACTCCCGAGCCGGGCATCGGGCATCCGGCCCAGTCTCTTGGGCGATGCCATAGGTGTCCTTCTAGGGGAAATAGATGGATATCCCTGGTTGATGATTAAAGCACCAGGTAAACCAGGGCCATCTACTTGTTCTTGGCAAAACAAGCAAAAAGGACACCTATGACCCATGGGTTCTGGCACATGGGCCATAGGAAATTACACGATTGCCCCTCGGCGCAAGCGATCAAAACCCGTTCATCAGAATCCGCATGGTGCGCCCTGATGTTCAAGCATCGGGCTTTTCACAATATGTTTTTGACTTCCCCCCCATTCTTTTCAGAGATCCTTCTTTTCAGCCAAAGCTCAGAAAACCAAATCAGGGCCCTAAGGGTTAGATCAGTGTGTCATTTAAAAATCACATCATAACAAGGGGGCCCCAGCCCAGACTCACCAGGGCTGGGACCTTCCAACTGTTGTTGCTAAAAAACAGGAAAAACTGAATCTGATTTGTCTCATTTGTTAGATTTCGAATCTAGAAAGAAATGAGTACCTCAGGCCCCCGTTGTGACGTTCCTTGCAAAGCCCCAGCCCGGACCCCGCTCAAAGAGCTCACCACTCCCTCATGATGGTCAATCAAACATTCGCATGATCGAAAAAGCAAATAATTGCCAAACACCCCCTTTCCACAAAAAAAAACTCATCCACTACCAGATAATAAAGACATATATATATATATATGTATATAGGGAGTGCCTTTCTTGGAGGGGAGGGGAGGGGAGAGGAGGGGAGGGGAGCCCACTGGGCAGCCATCCTCCACTCCTCGCCGCGCCTCCACCTCGCGGTGCCGCAGCTGGAGCCCGGTGCAGCCGCCCTGGAGCTGCCAGGGGCTCCAGGGCCCCAGGATGCAGTCCCTTCGCCTGGGAGGATCTGAGTTGCAGGGGTTCCTCACGACACATATCCAAAAACCATTTGAGGAGTCAATGCCTATCCCCATCACAGCTGCGCCTTTGCCCTGCCTTCCCTTTTCAAGCCCCGCCCCCCCACCCCTCTGGGGACTGCACACGCACGGCCCGCACTTCTCCAGTTCTGGCACAGGCGTTCCGAGGGACACGGGCGCCACATGAACAACCGCACTGCCGGGCTAGTGGCCACGTGCCCCCCCCAAAAAAAATATATAAAATGCGCCAGCGCAACAACTCTGCTCGTCGGCGGTGTTTTCTGACCTCATTATTTTACCATGATCAAAGTCACCCCCTAACTATTGGGTTAAGGGACACGGACCCATTTTCTGACTTTGATAACCCCCAGAAGCCGTCAAAATAATGACCCCAGGTTTTTGCAGCAGGGATTGGACACCCCGCAAACCGCGGCCTGGGCAGTTGTCCCACTGCTCCTGGTACCCGTCACAGACGTGCTCCAGGGGCACGTAGTAGTCCCCAATGGCCCCCAGGTCATGGACCGTTGCCAGCTCACCTCTGCTCCTTGGATGCGAGTGCACCAGATTGGGGGTGTGTCTCATGCTTGGGAGGGTGTTCTCCATTTGGCTCGCCCTTAAATTGGTTGCGAAATTTGCTCCCCTGCTAAAAGTGACTAGAAAACCCATTAGTTAGCAAAAAGTTAAAGTCCTACTGCACCAAAGTTAAACAACCCTACCGGGCACCCTGAAACACGCATACCAGCTTGAGGAGCAGGGCCAAAGAACTCCCGAGCGATCAACAATCCTAAGGGGTGCAGGCCAGGGGGCATTGTCAAAAGGTGCAGGAACACCAGCCGAGCTGGCATTCCTGCTGGCGGTGTCATCCGTCACCTGCCAAAGGAGTTCCGTTGCCCTGCGCGTTCAATGCTTCTTGGAGGGGCTACGCCGAAGAGGGCTGAACACGGCTTTCAAATCGAGTGTCCACACGGTCCGCGACTTCGAGGGACGACCCACGCCTGTCTTCTGCGAAAAACGCGGAGCTGCACATGAAACAAACCGATGAGACCGTCCCCTTGTATCCTTTGAGCCCAAAAGGAAAAACCAGGGCCGGCGTGCAGAGTGCCATCCGGCAGCCCTGATCATCCACTGGGAGTTGCCTAAAAAATAGCATGCCTTGGGCAAAAAAGCATGGAGGCATGGCGTGGCGTTTACCCCCCATAGCCGCCTCCAACTCCACTCTGGAGTCCTGCCGTCCGCCGCCGCCCCACTTTTTTCTCGTCACGAGCTCGCGCTCAGGACCTCTCGACCTCTCAGGCCTGGCCATGCGCGCCCTTTCGGCTTCGCCTTTGGACCTTGAAGCCAGCTCCACCCCAAAGAAGCTGTGGCCTGGCTGGGGCTCTTTCGGGGATCGGAAGCCTTACAGCCCACCTGGATCCGCCTGAACATGTTTGCTCACGCAGAACGCCTCGGCTCGAGGGCCACAAAGATCTGGCCACAAGCGTCCCGTCCGTGTGTGCGGGGTTCCAGCTTTTCATTACCCCATACACGTACACTCAGTGGTGCCCCCTTGGGGGAAGCCAACCACTGGGTTTAAGTCTATCATTCCTATACTGCCACCCAATCGGATTTCTCACTGTAAGGGCTCAGGTCATGTTAGCTCTTTGTATCTGGCAATTTCTTGGAGTACAAACGGCGGGAGTCGCATAACTTTTGCTGGGATGCGGAACACGTGTCTGTGTAGTGTAGAATCTGGTCTTTTTCTGGATGGCCATCCATTTTTGCTCACGGCTCTGAAGGCTGATGGGTGTTTTTTTCGTTCCCAAGCCATACGACGTGGCTGTCCAAAGAGGAAGCATGGAAAAGTAGCCTCCAGACACGAGCATCACCTCGCAAACAAAACGCGAGGATGGCGAACGATCGAAATGCCTATTTCGCAGCGAGCCCCGAAATTATGGGCGCTTTTGGAATGAAGGAAACCGCGCCATCCACATGATAGCTCGGTCGACATCTGCAAGGCCTGCAGCCGTCTGGGATCCGCACGAATCATCCGAGCCCGCCTGTCGTTGCACAAGTTCTTGCTTGCTTAGATGGTTTGGCACTTTGCTCAAGGTTGGTAACCCACAGGAACCCTCCGCTTAACCTCCTAGCCTTTGCACACCAACCACTTCGCAAAGGCCTCCGCATCTAAGTGGACCGTGTTTTGGGGAAGCAACAGAAAATCACGGAACGCCGACTTGCAGCTGCGACTCCACAGGCCAGACCCTCCTGGAACTCAATGTGGGACCTAGAAGCCAACTTCTTCTTCTCCTTTTTTGGGGGGGGTCCATGGTTGTCATGGGTGTTGTGCTTAGCTTTAGCCAGTCCGTCGCAGCTCTTTTCCTGGCGCGCGCGCGTGCAGCCACTTCCTAAAATTGCCGCCAGCGGCCAGGTGAACACCTCGGCCGTCGGCCGTCGGCCGCCGCGCTCTCGCTTTCAAGCTCTGGACGGGGCGATCGGGGTCGTTGGGAAACCGTGGCGATGACCCACATAGGGCCTTGTAACCATGGGTGGCTTGTAGCTGTGGGGTTGTTGCCAACCACCTGCCTCGCACCCCACCCTTGAAGTACCTAGGAATGTACCGAAGCCAGGGACCAGGAAGCGTGTGTGGTTCGTGGGCCTCAGTTTTCTTTGGGCCGCGCAACAGCACTCTATTTCTCATGGGCATCAAGGTTCCGCAAGCGTGCAATTGCCACTCTCCTTGGCCAAGAGAGGAAATGGGAAACAACAAAACATTAGCATGTCTGCATGTGTGATTGGGTTGTTCCAGTGGAGACCTTATGAAAGGCACCCATTGGATTTTGGCCCAATTGCGGGCTTCAAGCGCGCCAATCCTCAAAAACTTGAACCGGTGTGGGAATTTTGCACCCTTCTGATATGCCACTGGTACGCCTTCCCGATAGCTAATTCTTCGCTTGAAGCGTAATGGTCCTCCTTTAACTTGCTGGTGCTCAGTAGGGATTGACCCAGGGAATGAATCTAGGGATCCCCTTGAATGGAAACCATTGCAAATGGTTTATATGCGTCACTGCCTCATTGCCTATCGAACCAGCAACTCAATCACAAGACTCGTCCCCCGAGCCCTTCCGAAAGCCCTTACCTGCCACGCTCGCAGCGAGAACTGCCTCTGCCGTGCTCAAACGACCCCCATTTCACCAGGCGCACATACGAACCACCGCGAAACCGCATGCACAAACTACAAATGCCCCAATTCTTCCCTGCCGCTGTTCAACCTTTTGTTGTCCATTTACAGTCCCGACAAAGTGCCTGGCTGCTTTGCACCTGGGCAGCCGCGCGTTCGAAAATCCGCGCCCTTCCGCTCCAGAGCGAAAACCTCAGCGAAGCGGGGGCTAGTGGCGGGTGACCTCCCAGCTGAAGGCATCCCTCCCGCAGCCCCCACCCAGAAAACAAGTGGCAAATCCAAAGCAAAAGGAACATGGCACGAACAGTGCAGCTGAGGAAATTTGGGCATCTGCCACCCGGAACGCAGCCTGAGGTGAACTCGCAAAACATAGTAGGCATAGTGAACACGTGGCATGAATCTAAGAGGGTCTACCGGTACCACCCCAAGCCACTAACTCATATATTATATATATATATATACTCATATATGTATATATGGTACCCCCCCCATGGACCCTGGTTTGGTGTGTTTGACCTTTATTTTCCAGTGTGTTCTGCCTTGTTTTGCTTTTTGGATTTGTGTCAAAATGAGGGGAATGCCATATTCATATACCAACAGCATGCATGCAGACAGATGTGATAAAAGCAATGACATCAGCATCTGCAATCTGAAAGAGTTTGAATGCATCCAGGAGTGCAATAACAACTCAGAAATTCTTAAAAACCAATTAACAATTCCTAGAATCAAGATTCAAGACTCAAGAATCTGAGAAAATTCTGGAATCTTGAACCTTGAATCTTGAATCCCAAATTTTTAGAATTCTGGATTCAAGATTCAAGATTCAAGAATCTGAGAGAATATTTTCTGGGAATCTTGAATCTTGAATCCAGGATTTGGTTTAAACAAATTCCAGGGTTGTTTCAATACCCTCGGTGTTCAATAAGATTATCGGAAGAGCCTGCCGCGAAATATTCGTAAATATTTCAATCTCGAATCTTCAATCCAGTGGTAAAAGACGTTCGAGGTGTTAGAACAACTTGAACATTTTCAGGGATTGACCAGGATGGAGGGTTCTCGGGAAAGTTGTTGTTTCTGCACTTCTCAATGTTGAATCCTCAATCCAGTGGTGAAGCACTTTCAAGTGTTAGAAGAACTTGAATGTCGTTTGGGTTTGTCCAGGATTGACAATTCTCAGGAAAGTTTTCTGTGTAATCTTCAATCTTGAATTTTCCATCCAGCGGTGGAATACTTTCAAGTGCTTAGCGATCCGAATCACCTTCAAGTTATTGGTTAGGTAAACTTTCAAGTGCTTTGGTGAGCTTCATGTCAACTATGCTCACGCTGACCAAATCAAGGTAGGTGTAATGCTCAAAAACACTGTATTTTCTAAAGGGGCCCAGGATCATTAGGGGTACTATATGTATGTGCATGTATGTGCACATATCGATGTACATATGTATGTACAGTCACACCGTCACCCCCCCCTCTTGAACTACCTGTCCATTTGCTCATCTACTACCTCCACCTTTTGAATTTTGTTTCCTGTGCACATAGAACTTTAAATACAACTGATTTAGCTAGAATCCCTGGTTCGAGATAGTCTTAGAATTTGAATTTCTCTTCCCTTGAAATTTCCCTTTGGACCGTCTAACAAGTTCAATGTCGGACCTTTCTTATGCTACGAAAGGGCCAGAATGTAAATAACACAAAACGTATTTTGAATTTCCTTGTAGAAGTCCCTTAAATGTGTAGCCATATTTAATATGAACTATACTTGAGAAGTAGTCTCTATGTAATTGTTAATTATTATCAAAAGCTAATTGAATTGTGTTCGTATTAGATCATATTTAACACTTAGATTGCATTTGAGAAGAAACTCCAATCTAACTTCTTTTGTCAAAGATTAGTTGGAGTGTACCCGAAACTATGTTCACATGTTCATGTAGCTCCTATTTGGAAAGGATTTGCATATCTAAGCTGCAATTGAACATAAACACCTGTTTGAAAACTATATCCTTACAAAAAACTATATTCAAAATTCCAATTGTAGTTGAAGTAAAATCCTGTTTGGAAAGCGTATCATATTGGGACATTATGGAGAACTCCGGGCTCCAAATCAGGCCACAATTGGACATTTCGAATATAAATTTTGAGATTCTAGATTTGCCATCCCCAAAAAGCAGTAAAACCCGGGTTCATGGAGGGGGTAGAATATATATATATATATACATGTGTTACATTTCATTACAAATATATATATATATATAACTTAAATGTATATACACATGTATATGCACCCTCTGTCTTCTCCATTTCCCCTTCGGGTGGAAGCCCTTGGGAACCAGCCGATGCGTGCCGGCCAAGCACTCTCCTTCACTTCTTGCTGGTCATCTCATCGTACTTCGCCGCCTTCTCCACGATGGACTTGGAACCGACATAGGCGGTCACGGAGAGGATCACCACCTCGGGCCGGTCGAGACCCGGTCGATGCAAATTGAAGGCAGGCGCGCTGAGTCAAGCCCCTCTTTGGTGTGGCAAGTGGTTTTATGTCAACTGTGTGCCTCTAGGTCTGCCGGTGTGTATATGGGAGGCTGCGTAAGTGGATGGACGGTCCCCTCTTGGCAACCCCTTTGCAAGGACCTGGCCCTTGAAGAGTCAAGATGGTAGGGGGTGGCGAAAGGGGGTGGCGAAAGGGGGTGGCGAAAGGGGGTGGCGAAAGGGGGTGGCGAAAGGGGGTGGCGAAAGGGGGTGGCGAAAGGGGGTGGCGAAAGGGGGGGGGACGTGAAAGGATACGACTCCGAGCTGCCATCACGGACAAGAAGGTGGGAATCTCGAACTGGTCATCGAACGCCGGCAGCGCCACCTGAGCTGTTTCGCATGGAAGTACCCAGACCCATGGAGTATGCCAAGGTGTTGAGCCACGGTCAAGGTCTGCACTTACAGCAAAAATGAAACTAAGTCCGTCTCCTAGTTTTTCCAGGAAGTTTAGTGAGTGTCACCAAATGGACCAATCACTATGGGATATTCCGACCCATGTTTGGTTTTTCAAATCACTTAGTACCCTGCCTTAAGTATGTGTTCAGGTAACCCTTAGTTGGTGGTTTGGATCTGTGGTTTGTGGATTTTTTGAACCCTGGTCCTCGTAGAGGGTGAATGGGAAGCCACCCCAGAACACCACCAGATCACCAATCCACACCACCAACGGGGGGGGGGGGGAAGCTGATCCCGCCTGAGCGACATAGATCACCAGCACCGCGCAGGCTTCTCCGATGTTCTTCAGGACCGAATCCAGCAGGGCCAGCAAATACCTAGCCGGTGGTTTCTGGCATGGGTTTTCATTTTTAAAAAATGGGTCAGGTGTTTGTTTTAATACAACCCAAACGACCCCTGTTTGGGCGGCCCTGGGAAACCAAAAGGAAACCAGCCACCTTAAGAGGCTCCAAATTTTGAGAAACGCACTTCTGGGGAATGGTCTCCAAGCGCATGCATTCCCTTTCTAAAAGGATACCTTTGGGCCCTTTCTGCAAGCATCGCCTTTGCCAGCTGTCTGAGAGGATGTTCTGGCAAAGTGGTTCGGTAGCTTTGCCTACCGAACCATTTCAGGCACGTCGAAGCCACCGGGTTGCCCCCAGCTAGGGCCACCAGGACCCGAAGCCGAAGCCGAGATGTGTCGGCCGAGATGCATCGTGCTCCAGCCCTTGATGGTGAAGGAGGCCAAGACGCCTCGGCCGGGCACAATTGGATCCAGCCTTCACCTACGGCCTCGTTCATTCGTTCATGACCTTAGTTGCAGGAAACGGCGACAGAGGGGTTGGAGGGGCGGATCCTATGATGCATGCAAGGGAGAGCCCGCAACCGCTGTGATCTCAAAATGCACGTGTTGCCTCCAGCCTTGAG